GCTGTATGAATATGAGATGTAGGGTTGTAGTGGTATATGGATGTGTATCAAATATTATCGTTTCATATGAGTACCAACGAACCCACTCTTGCACCCGCAATATTGTCAATTGATGTGTCTATGAGCGAGCAAATAGCCGCTACATATGTATTGCTGGTGTATGCTTCAATTTTCTTGTATTATTATCAATATATATTTTTTCTATTTGTATGTGTAGAATTCCTAGTTTGTTAGCCATTTTCTTGAACAGTTCGGTATCCCAAGATGTATTCTTGGTTTTATCATTGGATGAATTGATGTGTGATTTTTTTTGTTTCTGAATAGTTTACTCTGAAATCTGTTGCTATGTGAACGCTTGGCGGTCGCTTGACATGATTTAACCGTACCTACTCTATTTCACTGTTTTATTGGACAAATTAAAATTTGCTTGAAATATTTTTAACCCCAATACGTATTCAGTACGTTTTCTAACCTTTTACGGGTTTGCACACCTGGTTTGGTTGGCCCTGACTTGCAACTGGTTGGTTACAAAAAGTTACAGACAGTTGAATTCGGTATATTCAGCCCTATTTTTGCTCTCCTCTGAATTCTATTTCTAAATTTTGAAACTGCCACTTTCGCTTTCAAAATTACGCTAACTGGTACATAAGAGAAGTTCATATTCAGGGATTACAAAACCTGAATAGATACATATATTTTGGAACAATAAAAGCCGAATTGGCCTTGTTTCCAGAATCCAAAAATATTCTTGATAACCCTGTATCACATACGCACACCCACAACAAGAGCGAGAGAGACAAAGAGAGCGAGAGCGACAAACGGGTGGGAGACTGGAAGTTTGAGACTGAGTGTCCTGAGGAGTCAGTCAGGAGAGGTGGCAACATCAGAATAGGAACGAACAACGAAGTCAACTCCGAACTCTCTCTACCCCACAGAGGCCCAGCAGACTCCAGCGGCTCTCGAGTCTCGAGTTCTCGACTCTTCGTCAAAGATGACAGACCGGCGAGAGCGGTAAATAGTAGGGGTTGTCCCATCCATTATACCACCTCTATAATTGGATGCCTGTGGTACATGAAACGTGTGATACGCACAGCTATAGTATAGCACCTGATGCGGTAGTGTAGCTATAGTCTGAAAGCTGAACACCAACCTTGTCAATTATCGTACTACACGTTAGTGTTTATGCGAACGGAGAGGATCAAATCCCAGGCCATCCGTACACCAATAAGGGGGGTTTGAATGGCGCGTAAAGATACACACATACATACAAATATATAAAAGTGGTTGCGCAGACCGTGTGCACACGCTTACTTGGAAACAAGGGCTACATACACCTACATACGGCAACTCATATAAGTATATAAAATAGTATATCATATAGGTATATAAAATAGTAGTGTACAAGTACACACAGTAGCACGTCCGCCGATTTGTGCACAAATGGGTATAGACACTGTAGTCTTAGCGCTGAGTTGTACAGCATAGGGGTCATATATATCCTATATATATAATTAATAATCAATGCTCCAAGTGGGGAATACATTGGCAAACATACAACACACACATGTGAGCACAAGTGGACAGGAGCCGCTACCTGCTCATGGAAGGCCAACAAAGGATAGTCCAAGCATGTGTGTACAGCCAGAGAGCAGTCCTACGGTCAAGACACACCCACACCCACACCCACATACACAAACGTATGTAGATTCCTTCAATAGTCTTGATAGCAATCCATCTGCACACATGGGACTGTTGAATGTTGAACTGGAAGTGCAAGTGGGGGCAAAGGGTATACAGACACTCGCACATAGCCCGCAACGGGCGAGATATACTACAGATAACGTTAATATACTTAAAAGTGTTACTGATAAAAAATATGCAGAAACTGATCCTTCGCATGCGGCGAATAGTAACCGTAAGCGTGCATATGGCAGTGATGCGTCAGAAGAGTGCGCAAGTGGGGTTGACCCAGCGTTTGATGAAAACACTGTGAAGAAGCGCAAAGTGGAGTCTGAGAGTGACGGGGTTAGTGAGTTAGACAGTGTGCTTAAACAACGACAACAAGCACCAACACACAGTAATGTACTGGTTACGTGTACGAATGGAGATATAGATAATAGTTCAACTGCTGGTACTACAGACGAAGCAACCGTCACACGCCCAACAAGTATAGCAGGACAGGCGGAGAGCTCTCAAGCGGAAGCCTCTGCGCCAGTTAGTGCAGTGACTCAAGAAGTACTTGGGGCAGCTGTGGGTGGTGATGTAGATGTACATGCACACCCGCACACAGCAAAAACTATACAGACACACACAATAGATACCGCACAATCACTCTCAGCAAATATTACACAGACACACACAGCAAGTAATGAACAAGCACACACAGCAAGTAATGAACAAGCACACACAGCAAATACAACAAAACCACAGTCACAACCACAACCACAACTTGACACGGATAAGCAATGCGACACACAGACGCACCCGCGCACGCCTCCACAGGAGGTTGTGCATGCATCCGACCACACGAAAGCATTAACAGGCGCCGCAGGTGTTACGACCTGTGAGGGTACCCAAACACATAGCTCTTCACAAAACCCCACTGAAGTATACAACCAATCCAACCACAGCAGCACAGATCAGCAGATTGGTGATAGTACATTAGTACCGAATATCCCAACACCCGCTTTAAGTGACTCGGGTGATGTAGGGACCACACGCACGGATGCACCTCATGTGGGGTCTAGTACAGACGGCGTTGCCATGACTGCGCAGGTACGAGTCGGTGAGCTTGACACCACTGATGCAGCGCGGTTAGCAGGGGTATCCGACATTGGAGCAGTCACTTCGAGCACTCGCCACAGTACGCTCCAACCACTCAACTCCACACCAGATGCGAATGCGGGTGTGTGTACAGGCACACGCACGGACCTAGACACGCTGACGGCCACAGAGGCGGTGGCAGGTGGTGCTGAGATGGGCGATATGAACGCCCAAGCAGAACAAACGCAAATGGGACATGGTAGTGTACCGGTGCATGACGCTGACAGCACCACCACGCCGCTCAATACAGCCACATATGCACGTAACTCTGAGAGCGCTGATGTTGGTGGTAGTGTGCGTGGCCAAGCAACCACCGACGCAGAGAGTGTGGGCGATAGGTGTGCGAGTGTGCGTAGTGGGGAGAGTATAGTAAGTGGTGGTACGGCGAACGATGGTAATGGACAATTAACAAGGAGTGGGATGGTAGGTAGTAGTGCACCGGTAGACGATACAATACAATCTCCAGGGTTAAGGGTGCAGGAGCAGGTGACTCTGACTGCGGCGGACAACGAACACGCACAAACACAAGTACAAACAAGCACAAACACACACACACACACGCACACGGACGGCGGTAGTATAGGCACGAATATTAGTAACAGTGAGGCTCTCGCACCTCCTAGCGAACCAGGCGTGCAAGCGACTACCACAGGCAGTAGTATGATTGGTGGGCGCACGGATGTTAGTACAGGTGTGCAAGGTCTCCCTGCTGCAGCTGCCACAGACAGCTCGGACGGGGGCGCTAGTGGACAATTAACGAGGCCGGGTGTTGCTGCCGTTGTCGATGTCAATACGAGCATTACAGCCGAGACAAATAACACAGGCGGTGCGGAGGGTCCCATAACGCACCCGGACAAGCCTCCCGGGAGAACAAGAGGACCGAACTTCGCCGGAATTTTAGTACCGGCGGAAGCGGTAGAGATGGCTCAGCTGCGTAAGAAAGACCGCGAGGAGAAGCCGCGTAAGAGTGTGATGGTGGTAAAGTGGTTGATGGATAACTATGAGATGTGGGATAACCACAGCATACCCCGGCAGAGTGTGTACGACAAGTACGAGGAGTATAGCAAGGTGCACGATCTAGGGCCCTGTAACAACGCCACCTTTGGCAAGCTCATCCGATCGATCTTTCCTAATCTGAAGACCAGGCGCTTGGGCACCAGAGGGAATTCTAAGGTATTGTGTGCATGTGTGCAAGCATGTGTGTATGTGTGGGATTGCGCGTACATGTGTATAGGTTTATTAGCGTGTATACGCGCGCGTGTGTGAGTGTGTATATGTGCATCATAAGATGTAAGAATACGCATTTAATGAATAAATGCTGGTGTGTGTATTCGCACATATATATATATGTATATATATATACGTATGTATATGCGAGTGTGTGTGTGGCGGATGTGCATACCATGTGGCAAGTGCCTCTTTTGTGCACTTCTGTTGTATTATTGCATTGTGCGAGTACGAGGGAGAGAACACTCATCGATAGTCCTTTCCTTCGGGACTTTCCCAATGAGATAACCTGTCTGCACAAGTATGTACAGGTCAGAGTATGTGCGCCTGTGATTGAAGCTTGTGGCATGTGTTTGAATCTCTGTATAAGTGGAGAGAGTTAATCGCTTAACGCGATCGTAAACGTTGGAATACGAGATGGATCTGGCAATGAGAATACAAACCAATTGATTCGACACATGTTGAATAGATTGTGTGGCACTGATTGTTATATATACGTCCACGATCAGGCATACATGCACAAAATGAGTTTTATATATTGACAAGTATACACATAAAACCTAACATATACAAATATACACAAATACAAATGTACACATAAAAAATATACATAAGAACATATACAAACATACATACAAGTAAACAATTATAGGCAAATACAAAAATACATATATATAAATATACACATATTCATTTATACATATATATATATACATATACATATATATATATGTATATGTATACTTACGAAAGTATGTTCAAGAACATACGGGGAAGAAATCGAATCTGCGGAAATGCGTGGCTTTTTCATTGAAAAAAAGGTTTAAGCAGAGAATGCTGTTCTCTGATACATTTATTTCTGAAACTGAATCGTATCGATCCCATTGGAATTCACGTCGATCTATATATATATGTGTGTGTGTGTGTGTGTGTGTATATATGTATATATGTATATATGTATATATGTTGAAAATAGAAACTATTTGTAGGTCCGTGACTGTTTGAGTAGTACATCAATTTGTGTATATCATTACGGTGTTTTGGTAGGCATGCTTATGTATGTGCTCAGTAAAAGCTTTGTATGTACATATATCTATACACAAGTACATATACGCTTATATAAATACCACGAGTACTTATATCCGCCCCATGGTCAATCTTTCAGATTCATTGGTGTGTATATCTTTGCCTACTGAGATAGTATTGCTATTGCGGGATCAAATTGCCCACCCGTTCCCCAATGTTTCTACTGTACACCTTAATATCAATACTTAAAACTAAAGTTTAATTAATTCTAAAGTTTGTATTAATTCCTGCCTTTTAATAGTACCACGACTTCAGTATCAAATTGCACACATAATATTGTTTGAATATACGGACGTGCTTGCTGTCGACATAAGAACAACAGATCGCATGGCTCCTGGAAGATTAATTTCTTCTTTGTACACACAGATTCACCTTTTTACTTAAAAGCCTGCGCACTAACGCCCATTCGCCAACCACAATTCTGAATTAATCTTAAAAGCTTGCACACTAAAAACCATTCGGCAACCTCAATTCTAAATTAATTCTTGTCTGTTGACAGTATCATTACTACGGTATCAAAGAGAAGGACGCGTCAAGTGCTCCACATCAACCACGCAATGGGACACATCCCGCCAGTCTCTACCCGGTATATCATATAAGGCAACAGGGACCAATGACAATGGCTACTTTAGAGTATGTACTGTTTCTTGCTTGAGCATTTGTACTGCGTGATATGATGTTGTGTGTATAGTTTTATAAACAAATAAATATATATATGGGTGTGTATGTTTATGTATCTATGTATCTATTTTATATATATTCATATGTATATATATATATATATATATATAAAAGTAAAATCGGCTGCTTTTCGAGCTTACTTGTTGACTTATTGATTCCATTCCACTGCGCAAGCAATACGCGTCCTTTTGCGGATTTGACTGTATATAGCCTCTCACCCGTGTGTAGTCACTAGTTTACTCCTTCGCGGTAGTAGGTGCAAATATTTAGGGTTTTTAAGCCTAATACACCTAAAACCCTAAATTTCCAAAGTGAGATGTTCGATTACCTACAAATATATATATATATATATGGTCTTTCTGTGGTGGCAAATATACATGTCTCTGCACTCCCGTAATCTGTGATTTGTGCCTTGTCATCTATTGTTGGAAAGAAGTCCCTTTGACAATTAAGTGCAGTGAGTGTATATTATCATTAAGGCTCGTTGTACTTCTTCAGTGGAGGCCTTAAGTTTGTATGATATGTATATTAGCTATACCAGTTTTGTGCAATTATGTATATATGTATCTATGTATAAAATCGTACGTAAGTTTTCATGTATGTATGTTTATATATATATATGTATATGTATATATATATATATGTACATTATCTTACCATATGATATTGTTACACACACCTTCAGGGAGGCTCAAGAGTTTGTGCATCAGCACACCGCACACTGCATGCGTGTGTTGGAAAGATTTGCGTCGTATTCCTTCGAGGCTGTGGGGCACGAATTGTCCAATTTCTGGAGCAATCTGACACCAACAATTCTAAACGCCTACCTTACACACCCCGAGGCTAAGCGTGTAGTGGCTGCTAACGATGCACTGGTGTTGCAGAATACCATCCTCACGTGGTTCCCTTCTCCGCTGAGCATGACCCGTTCGCAGAAGTATGTTGTGTGATGCTAATTAGAATGATATGTATATATATATAATTCTAGATGATATGTATATATATCCTCTTTTCTCTTGTCTGCTTCCTACTTCCTGTCATATAGACTTAATAGCACACGTTAACATGACTAGTTTATCAAAGAAGTTCCCAATTACTCCCATCTAACATTTCACTCGCCCATTCAACCTCGACCAATACCCAAACAGAATCGCACTCACCTTCACGCACATCGCACTATCTCTGCCCTCACCTCACCTCACTCCAGGCTTAAAAGCACGCGGCTGTTCGCCAAAGTAGCCAAGAACGTCCTCATGGACCCCATCGAGTGTCTGTGCAAGACGGATGTCTACGCCCAACGCCTGGTCACAGCCGAGTACTTCTCGCGTATGTTGTTACGGTTGACCTCTCTCACACATCTGGCGCAGGCAGCGTTGAGTCTGTTGTACTCAGGTGATCAGGTGGCGCAGATGATAGCGGATTGGAAGAGGATAGATGTTTCAGGAGTGCTGTGGCAGGCCAAGGAGTACTGTGTGTGTAGCTTCCAGACCCTGCAGGTGTGTACCAGATACAAGTATATAAATGTATATGCATGTATATGTTTATATATATATATATATGTGTGTGTGTGTGTATATATATCTGTATCTATATCTATATCTATATGCATATATATATACGTATGTATGTGTGTAAGTGTATATATATACTTATGTACGTACGTACATCCATGCATATATATATATGTGTGTGTGTGTATGTATATATGTGTATGTTTGTATGTATGTGTATGTACGTATCTATTTATGTATTTGTTTGTGTATGTATGTGTATGTATGTACGTATGTGTATGTATGTATGTTATGTACACACACACATATATGTATATGTAAATATATATATATATGTGTGTGTGTGTGTGTGTGTGTATACATATATATATATATATATATTATGCGTGTGTGTGTTGTTTTGTGGTATGTCTATTTATTTAGTTCGTGCACTTATCGCACCTTTTCTGTATTTTCGGCCCGGTAGACTTAAATGTATAGGTTGATATTCTACTACCAATACCTATAAATATATATGTGTATGTGTGGATCTATGTATCTTATGTATGTATTTATTATTATTATTTATATTTGTGTGTATATATATATATACTTATCAGTAGGCATGTCTTCTCCTCATTTCACCACCCACCATCGTGCACTATTTTTTTTCAATTTACAAGCTGTATTCTTCTTATAGCCATCTACTCATCCCACCACCATGCACCAATCACTTCCATTCTATCTATAGGATCTGCGGGTGGGCTTCGAGAGTGTGCTTAACCAGCGGGGGTCACTACCCATGTGGACTGCATGGATCGAGACCATCTTAGCCACTCACATCCACAAGCGCGTCTCGTCACACGCCCAGTCACACACCCACAGCCAGGCCCAGAGACACGCACAAGACACTTCCTCCGACCACGCAGACGCCACGCACGCGTACACACGCCTGCCCACACACGCCCACGCACACACACATGGAGACGAGGCTGCCAAGGAAGAGCAAGTGAGTGCAAAGGTGTTCCTGGGACTGTTTGGACTGGTGGGGTCGATGCTGATCCGCAATCTGACGGTTAAGAGTGCCAAGAGTTTCGGGAGCTTTCATCTGCTGCGATTGTTGCTGGATGAGTACTTAACGTATTTGGTCGAGAGAGATGAAACGCTTCCCACGACTGTCTCACCGCTGGTAGCCTGGCCCGTTAACGGGTTGCACGCACAGGCACAACCGCAGCCGACGGGTGGGCAGGCAGGCCTACCCGCACACATACAGAACACTACACAACAACAACAACAGCTGCAGCAGCAGCAAAGTGGTGTACACGCACGCACACACGGACATGGAGGGGGGTATCAAGCCCACGCACACGCACACATGAGAGGGTATGACGGAGGGCCCCTGGATTATCGGACTGGGCTTCCTCTGGGGACAAAAGGCATGAAACGGGAAACGCCCGTTAAGCTGATACCACGACCGATGATGTTCCCTACTCAGCACCCGCATATGATAGGGGTACAGAACCAGTACATACAGCCACAGCCGGTGGGGGGTGGGGGTAAGGAGGACGGGGGTAGGCGGGGACAGACAATTAACGAGGAATCGGAGAGTTCGGTACAAAGCGCGGCACACACGAGCAAGCAGCAGAGAGGGGATCGGATACAGGGGACGCAGAAGAATGGCAAGCCAGGAGCTCTGCGTAATACACACCGACCCAAACAGAACAAGCCTGTAGGTAAACAGCAGGAACAGACACATACGACTAAGAATAAGAATGTCAAACAGCCGCAGACGGCTCCCACACAACCGCACACGCACGCACGCGCGTCGCAGAGCAACAACGTTAAGAGGCTGGTACACGAAGGACAAGACCAGCACACGCAACAAGAACAACAACAACACACACAGCAACTGCAACAGCAACATCTACAAAAACCACGGCATCGAGAATTGGGGCATGCGGAGGCCCACACACAGCAGCAGCCACACCATGAAACATATGCACACGCACACACAGTACACACCCCTCAATCGCAACAACAACACCGCATAAACCGCACGTACTCGGCGTCAGACACGGCCAGTTGTGCAAACGACAACAACAACGGTCGGACGAATGATGGGGAGAGAGAGAGCACAGGGGACGATGTTCGAGAGAAGAACGAAATGTGTGATAACGATAACGGGCTGTACAGTCAAGGACAGATGGGGCACCCGCCGGGGCAGTACTCGGAGGAGGATATGTACACAACGCACCCCAGTACACACACACAAACTCTCACACACCTTGAGCGTGGCTTACATTTGCGCTCACAGGATAGTCATAGCTCGCATACACACTTACAGCGCACACAGGAATCGTCACCGGAGACAAAGGCGTTTGCGAACACGGACATAATTCCTATAACCTTGACAACCCGTGGCAGTGAGAGTACAAGTATGCAGGGAGGTTCGGAAGACACGCGCGAGCACCAGAACAAGCATACGTACAGAGTGGGTATGCACATGTATGATGATATGGCACATAACGGTATAGCATACGGTAGCGAGTCTGGTACACATATTCAGGGGCAGCAGACGTATGGGAACGAGGCGACCGGTCACGGAGACATGGAGAATAGCCACAGATACGCTGTCGACACTCAGCATGTTGGGCATGGCATACACAGACGAAAGTCTAGCAGACACATGCACCCGCAGAGTGTAGGCATATTCCCCCACACAGACAATGTATCGAATGAACACAATACACAACGTGCAGAGGCACACAGCAATGAGATGGGGTCAGACCCGTGGAGGGATATGCAACCCACGCACGAACAGCGGCGTGGTTGCGGTGATTTTAACGCTGAAACATTCCCGTTAAAATCAGCCAATGAAATTGCAGATAATTACTTGGCTGCGAACGATCACTTCCGTCGGGCTTCCACTGTATCTTCAGGTACGAACGTTGTACCTCGCCTTAATTAAGCAAAGTAGCAAATTATGATATGAAAGTCGAGAATAAAGTTAAAACTAGAATATCACACAAACAAACAACCATGATATATATAATATTTATATATATATATATATATACTTCCATACATGCATACATACATCAATATATATATATATATATATATGTATGTATATATGCATACATATATAAATGTATATATATGTATATGTATGGTATGTATAATTTTTCTTCTTCTTCTTTATCTATATTATATCTTCATGAATATATATATAACATTTATGCATATTTGTATATATATTCATATATATATATATATATATATATTGAATACTTTTCTATCGTTTCAACGGTGATGGTCTGCGCAGTTGCTTGTTTTCTAGCTCACCCTCACCTGTTCGACTAGAACGGAATATAGATGCAGCGATTTAGTGTGAAAAATTCCACACGACCACATACTAAATAGTCTTAGCAACAGTTGGAATATGGTAGAACAGTTTATTTTACCGATACTTACGTGCTCCACTTAACCAATCAGTGTACGTATGCTAATATTTTGTATAAATCCATAGTCGATTCTTCAGATAATGTCTTGCAAGCCACCCTTTGCCATCCAGTATACCATAGTATCTACCGGCGATGCCAGGTTCGTAGGTGTCTGATTGTTCCGTCGCTGCACCATGGGGGATTGAACTGGCACTTGCCTTCTAGGATCACTATCATTGCTGATCTCGGGGTTGAAGAAGAACATGGATTCCGCGGTAGCGCTGATCTGAACCATGTTTTCTGTTGCGCTGTATCTTCGACTTTAGTTTTGTATTCGTAGCTGTGTTTGGCAGTGCAATCGGGTGCATGTTGGCTTTTATATATCCTGCACGAAGTCCCATTAGTCTCTGCAGATACATAGTATTAAGTAGTATTACACATGCATTGAGCATTAACGGCTTTGAGAACTCGAGAAGCTGAGCCAGAGCAGTGAGCACTCTGCCTCTTTATCAACTATGGCCCCGGGGGAAGGGTACATTTTTTTAACCAAGTACCAACTCATAAATTTTAAATTTCAATTTGTCGATGACTCGATTCAGACTATTCTCGAATTCTGCGAGTCCGTTTGACTCTAAGTACCCTATGATCTATATTTTCATTAGATTAGATATTCTCTAAGAGCATATAGAATTTTCTTTTGCCTCTTTACTCTTTAGTCTTGTCTTGGACTTTCTGCCGACGGCCAGTCTCGGGACAAATGCAAATACATAATTTCCTAATATAGCATATAAATACCTGTCGCTCCTCGTTGATGCAGGACTGCAGGGCGCTTGGCGTAAATTTGGTTCGCCACAGCACCATAGTAGTATTACTGTAACATACCAGCAGCGTCCAACAGATAATGCAAGGTACGGCGCACCATACAGAAATATGTCCCGAACCCGACTCCACGGGTGTGTGCGCAAGGAGCGAAGAACATATAGATGTATTCATCTTTCACTAGTATTGTAAATCAATTTTGCGCAAATACCGGGAGCGCGTATGAAACTATGAATCTAATATCGTAGACAAGGGTGTACGAGGTGGAATGCACATAGGGAGGTATATAAAGATAAACACTGTATGACCCATTTACAAATCACAATACAACAACACAGACATTAAGTTATATAAGATAACAATATGGTACAATTAAGCAACGCCGCGGAATCGATGTTCTTCTTCAATCCAGACAATCGTGATGTACAAGTGAACAAGGTACCAGTTCGATCGCCAACGATTCAACGCCGTAGCATCTCGGGATCAACAAAAAGTGTTAATCCGTCGGATACTATGGTGTTCTGGATGGCCAAAGGTGGTCTAGAAGATGTCCTATAAAGTGATCTGTCTGATTAAAATGCATCCTGTGCCGCTGATAACATCCACATATCCTGTAAATGAGACGGGGTTTGATAAAATTGCTACCAATGAGGCGCTTCCGTCTCATATGAGTTGTAACTAGTGTCTGGAGCACAGTTGCGCTTGAGTGTGAACTACCACAGTCCCTTCTACGTCCTGGCCACACCCCTCGTCAAATAATAACATGGCAGTAGCAACTACAACCAATAAACTTAGGTCGTATATATAAATATGGTACAAGTTTTCAGTACTAAAGAATGCCCGCTTTTTAAAGCGGACTATTCTTCTCTCTTAGACTTAATTATCAAGTGTGTGACATATATCTCAGTCACACAACATGTTGGAAAAAAGTAGGACTTGGACGTCATCACACTAAATTATACTTTATAGATAATAAACATGCTCATCCATCATATACACTATCGAGTCTTGCTCTGGTTCTTAGACATAAAATGATCCCAACACATGTCCAGGCATGTAGAATACATTCTGAAATATCTTAAATGAGCTTGTACATATCGTTTAATTCCTGATCAGTTGGAAGATATCGAATACGTGTAGTTTTATAACCATCATCTCTAGTTGTCCGTTACCAAGAGCTTTTCCTACGTCTGAGCATACCGATACAGAAATATGGAGCCGACGCGTTTCCTATGGGATACATACGTGTAAACCGTACATAAACATCTACAGGAAGTTATGTATGGTCTATATGTCTAAAATATATGTGATTCACTGCTTTTACAACGCGTCGCAAGTCTAGTTTAATATGTTCACATTAATTGCATGTCTCCATGGGTAGCCAATAATGAAGCATGTTTATATATTTAATATGGACCTGCTTTTGTCGTCGGGTACCAGCGTGACATGTTGTTATAAGAGTCACGACGAAAAACATGACAAATCCTCAAGAAAAAGAGTACAAGCCGTGGCAGAACGGTACATGATAATTGCATAGATCAAGAGTTAATTTAATTGTTGAGGTGACCCTCGTTAGCTTTTTTTTGAAATTTGTTTATATCGCAAACATGAGGATATTCCTTCAGATCGTGTCATGCAAGCAACCCTTTGCCATCTAGTATACCATGGTATCGACCGGGGATGTTGAATTAGCAGGTGTCTAAAAATTCCTTCGCTGTACCGTAGGAGATTGAACTGGCACTTGCCTCCTAGCATCAGTATTATTGCTGATCTCAGGGTTAAAGAAGAACGTGGACTCTGCGGTAGCGCTAATCTGAACCATGATTTCAATTTCGTTCGCGTTGAGATATTCGTAGTAATTTATGACAGCACAATCGACAGTATACGGTCTTTTATACGTGCTGCATCCAAAATAAAAGTGATCTAGGTTTCTTTAGAAGTAATCCTATTCAAGCCACCACACGTCTGTGAATATGTGCAGCGCACCAAATGTAGAGATAATTTTTCTTTTCAAAATTTTAGTCACATGACTCATGAGCTACATGCCACTAGACACTTCACTCTTCAGAGTTCAGGCTTCTCACTTCTGACTCCTCAGAAGACAGAATAGCCTGATAATATTACTAGCCTATAGGACTTAACTCTTGAGATCTACCAATTACTTCAGAGGCTTAGACTCAGAATCGCCAGTCTGTCACTACTCTCAACTCCCACTGAACTCGCCAGACTCCAGCTCTGGAGTACATATGTACTTGGTACTAAGTCCTGTTGGCAATTTACCTTTAGTACATATCTACTATTGAGTATTGTTCTTCCGCTTCGCCGTCGACTCATCGAGTCTTGTATCGAAAGTTTTTAAGTTCGCGACGGTTGGTCTTGGATAGTCATACATAACAGGATAACTGCGAACTGGATAAGCAGCTACATAAGCGTCAAGCGGACAACCCGAGTCCGATCACTCTTAAATCTCAAATCTGACTCCCGAATCCAACTAGTTTTGTAACTTCCAGTTGTGGCAGTGGGAGACCCGCGATCCATGGCCCGCCCCAACGGCCGGGAATGCTTGTGTATCTAATATGACTTATATCCTTGGTATCCGTGTTGTAAACTGCACACATACAGTGATGTGACAAATTCAAATGCCACCAAAGATGTATGTAACAATGACCACTATATGGTTTATCTTCCAATCATAAAACAACAACATAAACATAAGTTAAATACACGCAATATAATCGTAGCAATATGGTTCAACTAAGCTCCGCCGCGGAATTGATGCTCTTCCTCAATCCAGACAATCGTGATGTACAAGTGAACAAGGTACCAGTTCGATCGCCAACAACTCAACGTCGAAGCATATCAGAATCAACAAAAAGCGTCAATCCGTCAGATACAATGCTGTTCTGGATGGCCAAAGGTGGTCTGGAAGATGTCCTATAAATCCTATACAGCGATCCATCTGACTAAAGTCCGCCCTACGCCGATGATAACATCCACATATCCTGTATACTAACCTACACACATCTTGTACGAGAGACAGGATTTAGTGAAATTGTTACTAAAGAGCCGTATCAGTTTTATATGAGTGTAGTCTAATAGTGAATGAGCACAGCTGCACTGGGGTGTGATTTCCCACAGCCACTTCCTCCTCGTCAAATCGTAACATACAAGTATCAGCTCTAACTAATAAACATAGAATGTTCACAATATACAAGAAGCTTCCAGTAGTTTCTAATATTATGCTGTCTTTTCAAAGCCGATCAATCTTCTCTTCTATACTTTAAAAGTATAAAGTAAGTTGTGTACGTCTGTGTAACACAAATATCGTCGGTAAAAAAATCAAGGCTTGGCCGCAAGCTGAATTGAGATAGCAAAAAAGGCTGATACTTTATAAGTATCACAGATTCTCACTCAGCTTGTAATAGTATAAATACATAAAATCAAACACAAAATTTGATTCCTCCAATTTCCTGTCATGTAGTAGGCAATCAGAAGTATCACATAGTGTTCAAGTATTTTCAATGAACGAATGACACACGGTAAACTGTACATTGGCTTCTGTACGAAACTATAAGCTACATGCTTACATAGAAGTATTGTCTATGCATCCGACACCCTAAGCCGCGCCAATGAGGTGGCGTATCTAGTCACCAGAACAAAGTCAGTGGAAACCACACTGAAGTTCCGGAGAGTGTATGAGTTCATTGAGCGTATGGAGAAGGAGATGAAGAAGTCAGACGGACAGGCCAGGAGCAGCATGCGTGTCAAGGAACTGCCTGCGTTGCTGATGGGCAACGGATTTTAGTTTGACAATTGATTCCATGTTTCCATGGGTGAGTCAATAGTGAAGCATATGTCTGCTGAGCTCATATGGACCTATTTGTCGCCGAGTACCACATCGTGTTATGTAGTCGTTTACTCGTGACGAAAATCATGACAACTTTTCAAGAAAAGTTTCAAAAAAAAGGGTACAAGCCGCGACAAAACTGATACATGGTATTTGTATGCATCAATGATTAATTTGAGTATCCGGGATGTCTTCAATACATATTTTCGGTATGTAGCATAAACATTAGGATAAAATGTTTAGAAAATATTTTGCAATTTACCCTTTGCTATCCAGTATACCTAATACAGTATTACCATGTTACGACTGATGATGTCGGATTCACAGGTGTCTGAATATTTCTTCGCTGTACAGACACAGTGAGAGATTGAACCAGTACTCCCGACCGCTGAAGTCGGGTTTGAAGAAGAATGTGGATTCTGCGATAGCGTTAATCTGAACTATCATTGGTGTTGAGATGGATCCTCGACTGTGTGCTTTTCTTTTCAATTGTGTATATACAACAATGTAGTCGACAGAATGTTGGTGCCTATACATATTCTCTCGTGCTCATCGGTTCTCAGCCGCAGCGTGTATTATGTAAATACCGTGCAACTGCAGTCTGCACTGTGTCTGCAGGTCTGCAAGATGGCAACCCGGAAATCGGCATAGCAGTTGATAGAAATGTTTGCCTCCGAAATTTAGGAGTTGTTCTTGGCAGAACAAAAACATATCACGAGATACGGCATGAGCCCCATATTTCGGTAGATTGTATTAAGTGAACCGAAATTGGAAGGTATCACCGTATCACTTCAGGCTCGATGCAAATGCATTTCTGGTTATATAAAGATTGATCATGCTTGGATCTGGTCAGCATTTCTATACAACACCAGAAAAGTATATCCAAGACCAAAATAAACACAAAACTGGATAACAAGGATGTAACAACTTAGCTCTGTTGTGGAAATGATATACTCCGTCAAACCGGATAGTCGCGATGTGCCAGTAAAAAATACACCGGCGAATGAACCTACAACAGCTCAAAAGCGAAACACTTCACAATCAACAAAGAGCGAACAACCTTTGGATACTAAAGCTAAAATGAGTCTGGATGATGTGTTGTGGAGCAATCTGACTAATATCCAACTAAATTAATCCTGATCAGTATGTCACAAGTTGAGACCAAAAAGTGGACGCTTGCGCAGGTTTCCATACTCAAATACACATAGACAACATATAGTGACTCCTGCTAACAGCCTCACGCGTATACTGGTCACAGCATGGTGATAAGCGTCTAAGACTTCTGCTCTGCAACCAACAGCTTAAAGAACATGATGTAATGTTTATGTAGGCACATTATATTTATCCTACGGCGTTCTAGATAAGCAATTAAAATACCAAGATGTATACTACGGAAATACCATGCTGGAAAGCAATGCTTTTGTCTCTGAACAGATGTCAGAGATCACAGTAACTTTTCTTTTAAATACATATTGAAGTATGCTTCCTATATCTGCAATATGCTATCCAGGACAAATCCATGCGTCCTGCTGGGGCCGTTGTAGTAGTTTGCAAGCGTTTGGGCTTGGGACAATTGTAACATGAAACCATAGCCATAGAACTGGTACAAGCTGACCAAGCAATACATGACAACTCATGTCAGGCAAAAAAGCAACTAGTTTTGGCATACATAGTGCTTGTCGTGGGCATATTTCCGAATATATTTATGTATGTACTTGTATGAATGTGTATGCAGACAGGCGCATAAATCATTCTGTCTGAGAGTTACAGGTTGCGCGTAGTGTGACCCTGATGAGAACCCTCTGTTCGCAGGCATACACGGCTTAATAACCGGCAGTTTCCTTCACATTTGCTGAAACTGTTGACGAGAGATTCTATATTAATTTATAGTGTTTATATATGGGTGCACGTAATTTAAATGTAGTATATATGACTACACCTGTAGATATATATGCAGGCACAAATACCTCTCCGTTTGAACGGTGTCTACCTGACAGTGTGGTGGAGTGCAGATGAACTCTTCCTGCTCGTGTATATGTACCAACTACCATCCTCTGTAGCTGCCACTTTTAAACATCAATATT